TCTCCTCACATTCGACCGCGGTGCTTTCTGCTGCGCTGTATTCGACGCGGTATCATCGCTAGAAAGTATCGAGCTCAAGATCTCCGGAGTGTGGAAGTTGGACCAGGACGAGATGCTTGTGAGAGCGGACCCGATAGAGGAGCGCTTTGTAAGACAGGAGGCTCTGTCGGGAGATAGACTCTAAGCCATCGCGAAGGACTACACATGCTCGTTGGCTGGTATAGCTAAATGATAATCATTGTGGTCGAAGATCGTGACGCTGTCCTCACAATCGCTCCAGCTCCTCCTGCATGAGCATGATCTCAATCTGTTCCCGATGCAAGTCTACCCTCCTCTCCTTGCGAGGGATAAGCGGGACCTTCTGCGCGGCAGCGAACTCGGTCCCGCGCTCGCCAAAGTAGCGTCCGCACTCTAAGCTCCAGCACCAGACCGCGCGACGGGTGTTGCCCATGTGCTCGAGGTATTCGCGCAAGAGCTCGTCTACCTCGGGTCCGAAGGACGGCATGGTCGCGAGGATCTTCAAGTATCGCGCCTCGAGCTCCTTGCAGCGGTTGGAGAGCCATTCGATGGCACCGGCGCGATCGAGCGCGTATTGGTGCATGACGACCATGACGATGTTGAAGTGATCGATGCCCGACGCTTGTTCACGGTTGTATGAGAGGATGTCCTAGTAAGAGAGCGTCAGCTGCCAGGTTGATGCCAGAAGGCCGTCTCCTACTTACGTTATCGATGCCGATGAGCTCGCACCCTATATAGGTGAGTTGGGAGACCATGGGGTGGAACAGCGCGTCGTCGGGCAGGGATAGGTGAAGTCCGCCCAGGGAGTAGAGCGACCGTGCACCAGTACCCTCCAGCCGGATGGCCCAGTACTCGGCTATGGTCAGGGGCGTGGCGCGGTCGCGCGCCTCCGCCTCCCTGACGACAGACTCGAGGTAGTCCATGAACGTGATGAGGAGGTGCTTCGCGCCTTGAGGGGTTACTGTCTTGAGAACATGTACCCAGAACCTGGGTGCAAGCGGTGTGCACTCTGGAAAAACAAACCGAATGTGACACGTACTGTCTGGCAAGCTCTCCGATGACGATCTCGCCCGCGGGGCGATGCTTCTCGGGATGGTTCAAGGCGTCACGGCATATCTCGATCATTTCGTAAACCGTTCCGGCGGGTTCTACGTCAGTGTACTCGTCGATGACGAAGAACAGATACAGGAGGTTCAAAGAGACGCGGAGATGGTCTACATGTCCCGCGTCAGCTTGCAAAGGGACGTGCTAATAGTGGCACGTACCTCGTGAGCCGCAAGGCAGCAAGAGCGCACTGCACAGATCGAAATTGCACTTGTCAAACGCGTATTGAGATTTCGGGTTGAACGGGCGGAGAGAGTGTAACCACGCTCGGCCCTCGACGGCGACCACCTCTTGCAGAGGGTTCAATCTCCGTTGGCATGGCCAGGTAGCGAGTAGATCGGGAATTCGAAGGTACTCGAACTGAGCTTGGCGCATGTCGTGACGATGCCGGAGCGCGAGGTTAGTGCAAGGTAGATACCTGCGTCAGGAAGGCAAGTTGATGTCAAGCAGAGCGACGATTATATGCCCGATGCCGTGCCCCCATGGGTACTGCGATTGCTTCGGTACGCACCTCCGTGATGGGACAATGTCGACAGTGCCTCTTCACGTTCAGGATAGTCTCGTCGCCCATGGAGTTGCTAGGGTTGTGGTGTTCCGACCAACGTCTACAGTCGTCGCTTGAGACATATGAGCTTCGAGAAAAACCGCGATGCTATCAATCCAAAGGGAACGTACAGTACGTGTGCAAGCAATACGATGACAGAAAACGAATGCGTCATCGGAGGGTGTCGGCAGGCCCGGTAGGTGACATCGACCCTATCGTAGCTATTGGTAATATTGCTGGAGTGGGTGCAGCAAGTCGAGGGAAGCTAAGCGGCGCCGTTTCACACTAGGCCGAATGACCGGCTATGTTGCCCACCACAGGCCATACTCGTCGTTGCACGCACCGTTCTTGACCAGATCGGCGGTGTTACTGATGGCGGAATGCCGCGGTACTCCTACGATCGAAAGAGCCAAAAAGTGCGCGCGATAGCGATCTGTCTAAGTGACCGGCGGTGCCACGCCGCGACTCGGAGTTGGAAGCCTGAGATGAGTCAACATTGAACTTTCGGGCCGAGAGACTTCCTGGGTGAGTGCGCAAAGCCAGCTCGGTGGTCCGTGCAGACTCGAGCTAAGCCAGAACTGACAGGTCTCCGTGACGAGGCCGAGTCGCCAACGGAGTCGGAGGGAGAGGTTGTTTGTTTGCTCGTGTTAGGATCAGAGGCTATTGGCTTCCCAATTGAATCTTCCGCCACTTGGCGATCACTTCCGGCGTCAACTGTTTAGTATCTTGCCAGCTCACACACGTTGTGATAAGTACACCACTGAAGACCATGGCGTCTGCTTACAAGCATATCCGGCCTCCTGTGCTTCTTGTTTGTGCGTGCATATGCGTAAACGAATATCGCCGCATGGATCCGATCGAATGCTCACACCGCGCGGGCAGCAAGCATCCTTCCCGGCAACTTCATCTACATCGGAGTCAGCCTACCCGGGACGGACCGGTCTCACTCGTGTCTCTCCACTAGCCTGAACGAGCGTTAAGCGCTGTCGAATCGACTCCTCCACAGTATCAAGATGGGCTCATTCGATCCACGAAGGGTGGACACGAAGACTCCGCATGTGGGCCATGATAGGAATTGTAGAGGAGAGTCCGAGAGCGAGGACGACTAACGATGAAGTAATGAAACAAAGGGCACACTACTGTTTCCCAGGACGTATCGCACACGCGTGCAGTCACGCGCAATACATCACCCCCCAAGATCGCTCCAAAGTCATGCAAAAGTGCGATTGCCTCAAGGGGCCCCGGCGAGAAGCCACTTCAGTCCATCGCGCACGTCCCGATCCACCTTCTTCGCCAACGCGATCTCTGGGTATGAGTAGTAAAACCCATGCGGCACGCCCGGATAGCTGCAATAGGCGTCAGTGGCGAGCTCGGATCCCGCACGCCGCGGCAGTCGAGAGAGGGACGTACAAATTCGCCTTGACCTTGACCCCCGCCTCGCCGAGGACCTTAATCCAGATGCGGCTGTCGTCGCGCAGCGCGTCCATGCCGTTGTACCCAATGAACGCGGGTGCGACGCCCGCGTGCGACGGGAAGAGCAGCGGGGAGAAGCGCGGGTCATCCTTCGGTGCTTGGGCGAGTGCTACACGACAAAGATGATGAACACGACCTGGACACAGACAAGGGAGCACTGTCGGTAACGGGACGTACCGCAGCTCTGTACAAGGGCTTCGCGCGTGAGCAGCGGGCCGTCCTTGAACGCTTCCATCGATTGGTACTCGGCCTTGTACCTGTGCGCGACCGCGATCAGAGAGGTGCGCTTAGAGGTGTGCATCCGACGTACTCGTCCGGACATGCCTCTGGATGGACGACGACGGGCTGTCGCAAGAGCTGGCCGGTCACCGGGCGACCTTGGAAGAAGGGATCGTCGCGCGCGAGGTGCGCGCATACAGTGGCAAGCTGCGCACCCGCGGAGTCGCCACCGACAATGAGGCCTTTCTCGGTCGAGACTCGCAGGGACGACGCGTTGTCGACAGTCTAGAGGTCGGTGCGCGCGCTGTAGTAAAGAGTCTCTGGAATGGGAATGGGAACCTACCCATTTGATGGCAGCATACGCGTCATTGAGTCCAGCGGGGTACGGGTGCTCAGGGCCAAGTCTAGGGCAAGGTGAGACGTGGTGACTTGGCAGCGAGGACAAGACTGAACGCACCTGTACCCGACGTTGACGACACAGATCTGTAGCTCCACGCTGACACTGCGGAGGAAGTAGTCGTCCTGGCTGAGCTCACCGACGACCCATGCTAAGCATTGTGTGGGGTTAGCAATCAGTGCTTGAGCAGAACAAGCAATGCATACCTCCACCATGGTACCAGACCAGCACTGGGAAGGTCTTGGTCGCGTCCTCGCTGGAGGGTATGATACATCTCACTGGGATACAGCCACCCTCTACGGTAATGTCTTTGTCCTCGACAGAGTATGTTGAGTCTGTGCGCATTTATCAGCTTTTGAACGTACTGGTATTGAGTTCCACTGACCAGCAGGTAGCCTCTCGTTATGGTACTGGAGAGATGGCGCGAGGACACCGTGCGCAGATTCACGAAATACCTCCATCACGGACTTGCCTGGAGGAGGCTCTTTAGGTTCCGGCATGTCCGGGTGCCATTTGGCGTAAGCTGCAGCGAACTCGGGGTCCATACTCGCAAGAGATGGTAGTGACATGAACTTGAAGGTTGGAGGGTACCGGGGGGACTGCCAGTATAGAGCTCACCGGTCAGCCCGCGATATATATCCAGTCGGGCGGCGTCGCGTATGCGCCGATCGGCGTCCAGGCAAAGTCGGGCGGGGATGATTGTTCATGGGTCGACGGCTGGGCGGACGACACTGGAGGCGATGTATACTTCGGGCGGGAGCGCTCAGGCCTCAGGTCTCTTGGATGGCTCGCATGCATATGCTACGTGGTCCCGCTCGCATCGATATTCTCAGAGAGACCGAGCCGTGGCCGGAGAAAGGCGTTGGTGGCTCGTTTCCCTGCTCATCAAGAGTCGTGAACACTGCATGAGTCGGATTGAGTGCAATTGCTGACCTCGCGATGTAGCGCACCCGACACCAGTGCGACCTCCGTACCAACGTGGCACGGCGAGACAAACTTGGCAGCCACACTCTGGACGGGCGATGGCGAGTAGGCGGCTTCAAAAGATGTAATGCCGCTATAGAAGCATGCTGGACTTCGTGTACAGAGAAATCTATCTCAAAGTTCATGGCACCGGCAGTGGCAGAACTCACGGTGACTCGCCTGTTGCAACTTGCACATCAGCAGCGGCAAGGGCAGAGCGTTTGGGATCTGGTCGGACGAGTTGAGCAGCGGTCTACAAACGTTAATAAACGCCAAAATGTATCCCGTTTAGCTCAGTTGGTAGAGCGCGTCACTAGTAACCAAATGCTATGACGAGGTCAGTCGTTCGAGTCGGCTAATGGGAAGATTTGCTGTTTCAAATGGTCAGATTTTTGGACACCTACCTAACATAGCCATGCAGGCGACGAACGAGGCAAGCATTCCTCATCAAGTAACAGTAGCACAGTCACTTTTCCTAACATTGTCTTCTCTGTCGCATCGCAACGACATGATTCTCTGTTATATCACGTCTCTAGCAGAAATTCTGGGCCATAGTCCATCAGTAACTCAGTCCCTGCCGCCATATTCTTGTCTACCCGTGGATTAGCACGTCAGCGGAATGACTCGAAAGGACGCAAGAGGTATTGCCACTCACTGGCATAAATGCCGATCCTATGTTCCCCGTCCACCTTAAAGACTGGTCACGTCAAGCCACACTCGTCAACGTCTAGAACCTGCTAGGTGCCTCCAACCACGACTCACTATGAACAGTCACGTTCGCTCTGCGCGACGGTGCGTGATTGATGAATCGCGCAGGGTTTCCCGCATACATGCTGTCGACGGACATGGGCGAATCGCCCGGTGGGAGGCCGAAGACGTAGAATCTGCCGAGCGCTTGAGAGATCTCACTGCGAGGCTGCGTGGTGAGTATGATGGTGGAGCCTTGGAGGAGAGACAAACCTGCGCGATAGCTCCGTGGGCTCGTATATCAGCTCTCCGACGTACTCTAAAGCCGAGGTCAGCTGGACTGGCAAGGAACGGAGCGGGCATCGCCGGATGGGGGCATACCGATGACGAGCTCGCCCCTCCGCACGTCCTCGCAGAGGAACAGGCCCATGCCGTGCATGCCCCGCTTCACCTCCACGATCTGAGGGTTCACCGCAACCGTGAGCGCATGTCAGACACAGGTGCACAAACACCAGACGGACCTTGGGCGCACTCCTCTGCAGCTGCATGTTCGCGCAATCCATCCCGCACGGCGCACACAAGCGGGCGTCGCACTCACGCCTATCCTTGCGGCACGGACACGCGTCTGTCGTGCACGGCGGAACCGTCTTCTCCTTCGCATATCTCTTGTAAGTCTTGATCGTGACCGCCTTGCATGTGCAGCCGCGACCGCGGTCACCGTCCGAGCCCTCTGCCACTGCAGACGCACTGATCTGTGTGCCCGAGCCAGCAGGGGCAGAGACGAACCGCTGGGACACGACCGCGACCTATGTATGTGCATGTTCTGTGAGCAGGATGGATGGATAACAACGCGGGTCAGAGACGCGCAAAGTCCACGAACCTCGTAGCAAGGCTTGAGACAGAGTTTCGCGAGGTCGCAGGGCAGCGTGGGCGGAGCGATGTGGCACATGACCTGCAGTTCGTCAATTTCTGCATTGGTCCACACTACATCGTCCTGAGGGGTAGGCGCGAATCCAAGTCAGAACTCAAACTACGGGATTCCGAGGGAACTCGCCTCCGACACGCTCGGATGGTGGGCTGCACAGTCTGCCCCACACGGCTCAGCGACCGGTAGAAGATAGAAAGGCTCGGTGCTCAGACGACCGGGGTGGTCGAAGTTCTGAACGTCCTCCTCGGTGGCTAGAGGGACAGAGGGACGTCAGCGATACGACGGCACCCTGTGTAACCGAGCGCACTGACCGTGCGTAAAGCAGTGCGCCTGCAGACAATCAGGCCTGCGGCACCATAGCGTCAGGTAGTCTCGGAGACGCGATCGAAGATCGTCGGCGGCAGGTGGTGCGAGATCTGGAAGGGGAGGATGTTCCAGTCGCGATGAGCCTGGCCATGGCATGCTGTCGCTGTCGGGGTGTCAGCGAGCGTGTATGGTGCATGTGGAAATAGGCGTACTTAGCGTTGCCAGTAGATATTGCGCCACCTCCAACGGAGCCGGTGCGTAGTGGGAGAGGGAGGATCCGGGTCTCATCTATGTCCTCCAGGGACAGACCGTGCTCGTAGTGTAGACGCCGGGCAGTTTCCAGGGTGACTTCGAGTACTGTGACGAAGAAATAGTCAGTGGGATGCTTGCGAGGTTGGAAGAATGCGTACCATCGGGGCCGCGAGACTCCAAGTCTTGCCAAGCGAGCCCCTTGTGCACGTCGAGGTAGTCGTTGTAATTGAACGTTGGATGGTCGGCGAGGGGAAGGAAAGCCATCAAGTTGGGATCGTCCCCGTGGAGGATGTTCCGGGATACAGGGGTACACGACTCATACGAAGGGTAGGGAGTTGGGATTTCTTCGGGGGCAAGCACGATCTGTTTGGGATGCAGCTGCTTGATCTCCTCTATGTGCCCTTCCGGTCCAACAGTCCAACACGTCATCGACGGGACTAGGGAGGTGTTCTGCGACTGCGACGGCCCCGCAGCATTGTCGTCCTCTCCAGCGTTGATAAGCGCGTCAAGTTCTACCGCTCTGGAAGAGAGCCGAGCCAAGGCGGAATCAGGCGCTTTCAGCGAGGAGAGTTTGTCGGCACAATAGGCTTCGTCCCAAGTATTGTATTCGTCTGCGCAAATTCTGAGCTGAGATAGTACAGTTGCTCCCCTCTCCTCCTTTCGCAGTTGTACGTCGCTCATACGGCCGCACTATCCGTCTCGACGATCGTCACAGGATCTGATTGTAGCAAAACTGCCAGTGATCAGTCTAAGTGAGTCGAACGAAACTTGAAGTTCGAGAGATCGAGACACCGCGGACTCACGCTCACGCCACTGTCTGGTGCAAAAAATTGGTCCGCGTGTGTCACACCACAGAAAAAGACACCGGGTGTTGAGCATCTGCATCAGGTAGAGAGGGCAGATGATGGTTAAGAGCAAGCAGCGTCGGAGACAAGACGACCGGAGTCAGCCACAGGCGCGTTGTTTGGCCATGCTTGGAGACGGAAGGCTTCCGTGACGTAATCATTTGTTCGGTCAAGTATATTTGGCGCTTGGCTTCTGCGCCGTCTCTCTCTGTGTTCGACCTCAACGTTCGGTCCTTGGTGCGCATTATATCTCGGTATGATATTTTTTGAATGCTGACTGAGGATTACTATACATGGTAGTCTTCATGTTTCCAGTTATCGAGCGGAATGCCCAACGATGCAACCTCAGTCGTGATCCCTGACCCCCGCCTAGTGCACGACTATCAACCGGCCAACGACTCTTCTCTAGCTGACATAACGACGCGTCCTCAAGCCGACTGTGGACTGCTGAGCATATCTATAGGAAACCCGCCAGGAGACAGCGCAGCGCTCGTTGATCAGGAGGTCCGACTAGCCCTTCTCTCCAGGGCTGAGACCGACGACGATGACTGTCAACAAAGTGATCTTGATCTCTTTCATGTACGACTCTCTGGCTCCAAGGGTCTCGGCGTATTTGCTACTTCGAACATCGAGCCAGGCGACCTCATCATACGCGAGAGGCCGCTCATCATATATCCTCAGCTTCTCCCCTTCCACAACGAGCTGCCTCTGGCTCAGGCGTATCTCGAACTCGATCGCACAGTCGATCTGCTGTCAGATCTGCAAAGGGACGCCTTCCACGGGCTTGCAAACAGCCACCTCATAGAGCCATCGCTGGTCAAGGGGATCGTCGACACAAATGCTCTGCACATCGGCCTCTTCCCCGGTTCCTCGCGACAGTACGGAGCCGTATGCAACAGCATCTCCCGGGTCAACCACAGGTGCGCGTAACTTACTTTGCCTTCAGCCGAAAAGCTGAGAACTAATCCCTCTGCTTTGCAGCTGCTCTCCGAATGCTACCTATCGATTTGACGCGGGAACGCTCTCCTTCGAGCTTCGAGCCCTCTTCCCCATTCCTCGCGGTGCTGAGATCTGCATCTCGTACATCGACCCTGCGCTTCCCCTCGCCGCCCGCCAGAAAGCACTCTCAAGCTACGGCTTCACCTGTACCTGTCCCTTCTGCTCGCTCACCGGCCCCGCCCTCGCCCAAAGCGAGACCCGGCGCGCCCTCATCGCACGAGCGGACTCGGACCTCGACGCGCGAAACGCGGCTCTCGAGCGGTGGGCGCGCACGCCGGGCATGCCGGACGAGTACATCAACCGCGTCGACAAGATGTACATGGACCTGTTCGAGAAGGAGCAGCTCTACTACGAGCCCGTCTGGGAGGGCTTTGCTGCTCGTCTGTGCAAGGCGTGCTGTGCGCTCGAGGACGCGGAGGGCGCGAGGCGGTGGGCTAGTTTGGCTTCTGCGCTCAATCGCGCGTATACCGGGGCCGATCGCGGGTGGGACGCGGTGAAGGAGCAGCCGGAGCGGATAGAATGGTGGGGGCTGAGGCGGAGGATGACTCCGTGCAAGGAGACGGTGTCATGCCGTTGACTGTTTTCGTTGGTGCTCGGTGAGCCTCGCGATTTGCTGTACTCTGATGTAGTCAATTAGTGTGATCAGTGTGCCAAGTTAGTCTCAACATGTGCTCGGCGGTGGAGAGGGTTCTCGGGAGTCGGGATAATCATACCAATCCGAATCGTTGGATCGTGTATTGACCAATATACTGGGTACTGATCGCTACCAAACACCGTCGACAACACCGATTTAAAACTGAAAATTGTCATATATGGAGATATCAAAAGTCTTCAGCGTCAACGGAATCGCTGTGGCAGGGGACGGATTGCTTTGAGGCGAAGACTGCTGACTAGCGTCCTCGTCTTCCTTCGCTCCGGCTTGAGCGAGATCGACTACCTCCTGCTCTAGCTGCCTCGCAAGTTCCTCCAAGACCTGGTCGGGAATACCAAACTGTGGAGGATCCCAGGGGACGATGTAGCCGTGCGTCTTCGGCACATATTCCGGCTTCACAGCTGGGAATGAGATCAACGTCTTTTGATCGATACTCTCATATTAAGGGGGAGAACCTCACCCTTTCCATCTCGGTCACCGAAGAGTCGCATCCACAGCAGATAGCACATGTAGCAGCATTTCCTACTTACGCCAATCGGCGGCACGTCCACCTACAAGAAGAGAACTGGTCAGCGGCTGCGAACTCGTCAACAGTAGGATGGCGCACGGAGAACGCAGCTATCAATTCTTCCGACAACAACTTGCGTGCCGCCTCCGCATTATGCTTGACGTGATACGCAAGCGCCATCAAACCTG